GACAAGAATATTAACAAATTTCTACATAATTGGTAGTTCAATAGATAAAGGGGAAACTTCAACTGATTGACTGTTATATCAAATATTTTTTTATCAGTTGTTTATTGGTGAACTAAAGGAGATCATAATCTTTTCATTTTTATTTTATGTAATAGTCATATCTGTAATAACCTATATATATAGCAAGCTTTCTAAGAAGCTGAATTTGGAAAAAGGAACCATTCTTTAAAATAATCGTTGAAGTGTGTGGGTAATCCCACATTGCATACAGACAACACATCAGATAAATACAAACTAAGTAAATGACATATAATGAGAATGGTGAACCAACCAAAATGACTAGGCCATTTTGTGTTTAAGGTAAGTCCAACTAATCATAAGCCCAATATTAAATACATAATTGAATTTGATTAACTTGCTTCTAGGGCCTAGATTCTTAACAATAATCAAGCCATTTTTTCTGTTACAATTCTTTTTTTCTTCTATTTTTTCCTCTTAAATTAGAATTCACTTCAAAATTTTAATTAAAACTTTTGAATTATGCTTGGACTTATTTAATTTTTTAGTCTAGCTATAATTTCAAGTACATAATGAAAATAGATTGCAAAGCACTAAAACTTGAAAAGGGTTAGCATAATATGATAAAAAAAATAAAATTTGTGAAAAGGCTAAATGCATGACGGTGCAAAAGTAAATCAATGAACATTTAAAGTAAAAAAGACAACTTGATTTCTTTTATCAGTACTAAGGAAACAAAGCTCAACAAATTGAGGCCAAACAAAGACGAGAACAGGACAACACACGACATTGTCAAATAACTAAAATTTACCTTCCAAATTAGAATCTAAATATGTAGTCTATTCTAACATCATAATTAGAAGTGTAGTTAGCTAGCCACTTCATTCAATACTTGGCTTAATTGTAAACATGAAAAACATAAACCTTTTAATCTAATCACCCAAACTAAAGAGCTGCTCGAATTAGAAGTGTGACCTAGACCATTAATCAAATCAACTATTTTTTTATCGTATATTACACTCACTCATCACCTTCTCCATTTCGAGTGTAGAAAAAAAAGACTTTATGCCCTAATATATGCCATAATAAATAATTAGTAACTATACGACTCAATTCCAACATAATTACCCAAGAGCCAATTTTGGACCTCTATATAATTCACATAGCTCAGCCATTTACACAAGTTCCTAATGAAACCACCCAACCAGTGCCCATCTCATCTCTTAACCAAAAGTGGAAGTAAATGGAGACAAGGGTACCGTATCCCTTTCCTATGATTATAAAATAAAATAAAATAAGTAGATCAAGTTTATAATTTCAAATATACTTATATTGAAATTATAAGTTTATATATAAAATCCTACTTAAAAAAAATATCTATTTTAAATTTTCATTGCACGAATTGTCTCTCTTTTTAGCTCTTTCATTCATTGTAAATAAGAAATTGAAAGTATGATAAAATTAGAAATTGATAGCTCTTAATTGAAAGCGAGATTGCTATTCTTTATTCACTTTTTTCTTACCTCTTTCTCTTTTTTTTTTTTTATTTAAAATGTAATTCATTAATAATAATATCAAGAATTACAAATAATCATATACACCATACATAGAACTTTACTATTAGTAGCTAATAGAGTTCGTTGATCTTTTAACGAAACAAAAGAATTCATATTCTTTTGAATAATGAAACTAAAGTTTTTTAAAAAATATAATATTAAATCTTTCCGCCTAGATTGATTTTTTAAGAATTTGCAACATATGATGAACACATATAATTTTTTGCCACTATGTGTCAATAGCATCAATGGAGGAATAGGTCGCACTACCAGACTCCTTTGATCGAAGATCCACACATGCAAATCAAGATCTAAATGTTGAAATTGAGAAATATGAAAAGTAAACTTAGAAAATGAGAGTAGAAGACAAGAGAAGGAATTCTTGAAATTTGTTCTATTTTTTCTTCTTTACAAACATCTATTTATATGTGCTTCTTAATAAAAATTACAATAAAAGCAACACACAAAACTAAAAGACTTAAGAACTTAATTAATAAAATACATTGTATCTAACTAATGTATCTAGGATGAACTTGATTATTTCGGTTCATGAACCTTCTAATGAAAAGTCTCATCAACTTCAGACACTCCTCCTTGAGACTTTCCTTGCAAATTCCAATCAACTTTTTTGGTTCTTTGAATCTTCTATAAGGTAAAGCTTTTGTCAAAATATTAACAGTTGATCTTCTGACTTGTAGTAAACTAGCTTTATCTCCTTATTCCTTTTGGCTTCTCTTAAAAAATGATACTTCACTTTAATATGCTTAGTTCTTCCATGTTGAACTGGATTATTTGCAATGGCAGTAGCTAACTTATTGTCATAAAAAATCACAGTAGGATTCAGCAGCATCAGTCCCAAATCACCCAATAACTTCCTAATCCAAATAGGTTGGTTTGTTGCAGAAGCTGCTGCAACATACTTGGCTTTTGCAGTAGATTGAGCAACCACCTCTTGTTTCTTGAAATTCCAAGAGAATGATCTTGATCCTAAAGAAAAAATGTATCCATTTGTGCTCTTACTGTCATCTACTAGCCTAATCACTGTCGACATATCCTTTAAGTTTTACTTCCTTCATTGCTGCTTCCTTCATTGCTGTATAAAACAACATAGTTGCGAGTTGCCTTGACATATTTTAGAACTCTTTTAGTTGGCATTAAGATGATTCTTGCTTGGTGAGTTCATGAATCTTGAGAGTAAATTGGTAGCAAACATTAAATCAAGTCTAGTGGTAGTAAGATACAATAAACTCCCAATTAAACTTCTATACTCAATTGCATTCACCTTTTGTTCTCCATCATCAAAGGAAAACTTCATATTCTAGTCAAAAGGAGTTAAAACACCCTTGCAATGTTGTATTTTAATTTAAAACATCGCAAGCATACTTCCTTTGTGTAAGAAAGATGCCTTCAGATTTCTAGTGAACTTCCATGCCAGAAAATACTTCATCAATCCCAAATCAAACATTTCAAATTCTGATTGCATTTGATTTTTAAATTCAATTAGCAACTAAATATCACTACCTATAACAAGTATATCATCCACATAAATGGATATCACAAGCTGCTTAAGATGTTCATAGTACATGGTATCCTCATTTTCACTCCTCTTGAAGCCTTAAAGGAGTAAATAAGAGTCAACTCTTTCATACTAGGCTCTGGGAGTTTGTTTAAGACCATATAAAGCCTTATTAAGCTTGTTAACATTGTCTTCACTTCCCTTGACTATAAAACCTTCTCATTGGTGAATGCAAATCTCCTCCTTAAGTAAGCCATTCAAAAAGCAAACTTCACATCCAGATGAAATACTTTCCTTCTGTTTTATACTGCAAGTACTAACAATAACCTTATAGTATCATCTCTAGCACAGGAGCAAATGTATCTCCATAGTCCACCCCAGCCTACTGAGCATAGCCTTTAACGACTAAGCTTGCTTTTTATTTGTTGACTGTGCCATCAACATTGTAATTCATTCTAAATGCCTATTTTACTCCAATCACATTTTTGCCCTGTGGTTTAGAGGTGAGAACCCATGTTTGATTCTTCTCAATTGCTACGATTTCTTCTTTCACAGCTTGCTTCCATTTTTTATGTGTTGCAGCGTCTTGAGAACTCGTGAGTTCTTGAGTTACAATGTTGCAACTTTCATATATCTCTGCTAATGACTTTGTTTTAAAGACTGGTGAGTCTGGATCACTTTCTTCTGCAAGATCAACTTCACTAGTTCTTTCAATTTCTGCGTGGATGAGTCAAGTTTAATTGATTCCTTTTTAAATTTTTCTTTTTTCTAGTCCCAAATTGCCATTTCATCAACTGTCAAATCTCTGCAAATAATTACTTTCTTGGTGTTGAGATTGAAAACTTTATAGCCTTTGGAGTGAGTAGCGTACTCCAAAAACAAACACACTTCTGTTTTTTCATCAAACTTCTTTCTCCTTACACTTGGAACATGAACATAGCAGACAGAACCAAAAACCTTTAAATGTTTGAGAGAAGGTTTTGATTCATACCAGGCCTCAAATGGAGTCATTACTTTCACAAATGTAGTGGGCAATCTGTTGAGGAGAGATACCGAAGCAAAAATTGCTTCAGCCCAAAACTGCTGTGGCAATTTCTTTTGTGCTATCATACACCTTGCCATTTCTGCAACTGTCCTATTCTTCCTCTCAACTACACCATTCTGCTGATAATAGCTAATTGAAAACTAATGCTCTATGCTTGACTTTTGTAGAAAAATTGTGAAATCTTTCGAGCAATATTCTTTCCCATTATCTGATCTCAAAATCTTCAACTTCTTGCCACTTTGATTCTCAATCATGGCTTTGAAATTCTTGAATAGTTAAAAAACTTAAGACTTGCAAATGAGGAAATCAACCCATGTAAATCTGGTAGAATCATCTATGAACAAAATAAAGTATCTGCTTTGGTTTAAAGAAAAAATAATCATGGGACCACAAACATCAATTTGGACTAGCTACAATTTTTCTGTCACTCTCCAAGCCTGATTAACTGGAAACGCTTTTTATGCATTTTCCCCCAACTAACATGACTTACAAGTAATGATGGTAACATAAATCTCAGGCAGATCAAGCATATATCCATGTGTTTGCATAAATTTTAATGAGTTTAGGTTGAAATGATCCAATCTCTTATGCCATAACCATGTTTCATCAGAACTACAACTTAGAGCATGATGACTCCCATGTTTCAAGCTCAATGGAAAAATATTGTCAACCACCTTGACATTGGCTATTTCATGTCCATAAGGATCAAAAATAGTGCAAGAGGTATCTTTAAACCCAAGAGAGTAACGATTTCTCATCATTTGTGCCACACTCAAAAGGTGTTGATCAAGACAAGGAACAAACAGAACATCTAAAATTAAGTTTTTAACTTGCTTGATTTTCATAATGATAGAACATTTTCCTTCTATCTCCTTCCATCTGCCATCTTGACACTGTTTTTGAAGCTCTTATCCAATGAAGAGAAAATTGATTCTTCCTTGGCCATATGGCTGGTGCAACCACTGTCACTGAGCCAGGTAAACTTGTCATACTTATGACGAAGATGAGAGGTCATAAAACATTCTTTATCCCTATTTTGATCGTCTCCTCCAATGAATTTGGTTGTTGAGGTTGATGTTGCTGTTGTGAATTCTATTTCTTTGTTTATCTCGGCAGTAGTTCTCTGTGTACCCATTTCTGTTGCAAAAGTTACAATGGTACAATGGTTTGAAGTAGTAATCCTGCTCAAGATGATTTGTCCTTTTACAAATAGAATAAGGGGGAAACTTAGTTTTGTTCTGAAATTTACTAGAACCAGAGTTTTCTCCTTTGGAATTTTCCAAACTTATCGTTTTATTTCTTCCTTGAATCTCAGCCATTAAACCTCTTGCCTATGTGCTTTACTCGAAAGGTAGTTTCACTAACTTCTTCATTCCTTATGGAAGTTCTTTGTTCTTGAGCTTGAAACTTACTAATGAGCTCAACAATGGATAAAGTTTTGAGGTCGCAAGACTCCTTAATGGTTGAAATTTTGGCTTCAAACTTTTCTGGTAATGTAACCAGAAATTTTTCAATCACCTTAGAATCTTCAAATTTTTCTCCAAATAATTTAATTCAATTCACCAGTTGCATAATCCTAGAGGAGTAGTCTTTTACGATTTAACCTTCTTTCATTTTTAACATTTTAAATTCCCTTTTGAGAGTTAACAACTTCACTGCCTTAACTCTATTATTCCCCTCAAATACTTCTTTCAACTTGTCCCATGCCTCTTTAGGTGTTTCACAGGCCACTATCCTATAGAAAATTGCTTTAGAAACTACTAAATGAATGCAGGTTAAAGCCTTTGGTTTTTTTGTTAAATCGTCCTCATGTTTCTTCAATTGAGCAATGGTTCGACTTTCTCTCAATTGTGGTTGTTCTTCATCTGTTTCAACAACTTCCCACAGAGACATTGCTGGTAGGTAAGCCTTCATTTTGATGGCCCAAATTTGGTAATTTTCTCCAGAAATTGAAGAGAAACTAGAACTTAACATGAGAAAAAAAATAAAACTACACAGACCTTAAAGATCAAGAGAGCTCTGATACCACTGTTGAAGCTAAGAAATATGAAAAAGTAAACTTAGAAAATGAGAATAGAAGACAAGAGAAGGAATTCTTGAAATTTGCTATATGTTTTCTTCTTTACAAACATCTATTTATAGTTGCTTCTTGATAAGAATTACAATAAAAGCAACATACAAAACTAAAAGACTTGAGAACTTAATTAATAAAATGTATTGTATCTAAGTAATGTATTTAGGATGAACTTGATTATTTGGGTTCATGAACCTTCTAATTAAAAGTCTCATCAACTTCTAACACTAAAGTCTCCAATTAAATAAAATCAAATATCATATTTTTATTTAGTAATAGAACCTCACAAAGAGTGACCAAAAAAAAAAAAAAAAACCTTCTTAATTAAAAGCTCATCAAACTTCTAACACTAAGTCTCCAATTAAATAAAATCCAATATCATATTTTTATTTAGTATAAGAACTTCACAAAGAGTGACACAAAAAAAAAAAAAAAAACTCCAAAAATATGGAGACCAAAGTAGCAATATATAAAAAAAAAAAAAGCATTAAAAAAAAAAAAAAAAAAAAAACTCCAAATATGGAGACAAAGTAGCAATATATAAAAAAAAAAAAAAAGCATTATATAGGAAAGTAAATGAAGGTGAAGGTGAAGCAAAATAAAGAGTAGACACTAGGTGTTACCACTCATAGACAACCTATGATTGGGGCTACTGCTGATAAATATATTTTTTTTTTCCTTATCTCTTTCACTAACTGATTTAGATTCTTAAGAATATGTCAACAACCTATGATAGAATTTGAAAAAAGAAAAATTACTGAAAATACTTCAAGTTTTAATTTGTCATGATCGATTTCCATGGCAAAAGATTAATGCTTGCTTGGTTAGATATGCATAAAGCTTTTAAAGCCTATTTTTTACCAATTTTAAATTATTACAAGACGCAAGTTTGCGGTTTACTTTTTCATGATTTAGCCATTTCGTGTATGACATTTAAAAAAATTAACTACTTAATTCTTTTTTCTTTAAAACTTTATCATTATTAAGTGGTATTAATTATTTAAAGAATTAATAAAAGATTAATGTAATTAATTAGAGCAATATTTTTCTAGAATTAAGATTATTTAATAAATTTATAAATTCTTGTACAATTACACACTTGAAATGAAGTGGATGAAGTAAAATTTAATAGACCAATTATTTAAATTGATCTAAAAATTGTTAATATTTAAAATTAAAACAATTAAAAATACCACAGGGGTTGTGGTACTTTACATGCACTACTCTTATTGATTTTACCCTTTGATTTCCCTTCACTTGTTCGATTACCTAATTCAATTATCAAATTTTCACAATATGGTTTCAGCTTCACATCCCAACCCCAAATTCCGTGCTTATAATAAGCACCAAGTTCCATTTGTATCTCCATCTTCAACCTTTTACGCCCTACATCTGTCGTTAAATTTACTGCCAAAGGACTCAACATGAACAGCCTCTCCCACTCACAACCTTGACGATTGGATTGGATTCGAAATTCCGTTTCTTGGTTCGTGTCAATTCCCAGTATTTTATTCATTCGCCCGCACGAAATAGGTGTGCCATCATATGAAAGATAAGCAGTAAATGGTGGAACTGTAATATTTATATTGGATTTATGATTAGCAAATACTAACTTTGCATTCCAAGAAACAACCAATCTTTTTGAATGGCTCACGTAAAATGATTCAAAGGTTAGGGATGATAGGTTGAGGGAAAGTGTACTTATCTTTGGTCCATATTTTAGGGTTTGATAACTTGCTATGCTTAGGCAAATTGTACAGAACAAAACCAACACAGTACAGATCACAAGATTGAAAGTTTTACACTCTTTAGAGCTCGTAGACATGGAGGGCAAGAGTGATTAAGATGAAGAGAGAAGGAGAAAGGGCAACAAAATATTTTCTTGAATGGTCTTTATTTATGAAATTGATGATTTCTGGCAAATTTGCTTTGAATAATTATGTAAAATCTCCTTTAGGGTATGTATTTAATGATTCACACCATGTTCTTTCTAAAGCTTATTGTTATTATAATTTGTTTAAATAAGATTCTGGTATACTGACAGTTTATTTTGTTTTTTAATATTTTGTTTTTCAAGTTTTTCTGTTTTATTTTTCACAATCAAAGGCAATGCTTCCTTTTAGGAACTACACCTAACTAATTAACAGTGAGAAACAATATTTTCCTTGTCTCGTTTATATATTTTGTTTCTTGAATTCAATATTTCCATGTTGGCTAACAGATATTTGAGTTGGGTAGTATCTATATTTATTAGCTTATTTGTAATATGGGCAAAACCAATTTAACAAATTAAGAAAATTAATTCATGGAATTATAATGTCCTTGAAGAAAATTGGGTAACTTGCGAGTTGATAACTTCTTAAGTGATGTCATATTTATGTTTATGTTTAAATAAAGTACAACATAAAATTTCCAATTAAATTTAGATTTTTTCAAGAGAAATTAAACTGTAAATTTCATTAAGATCAAATCATATAGATATATATAATACAGATAAACATAATTCTATATTTTTTAATAGAAAGTCAATAATAAATCTTCGATACATAGAATAAAAAAACACAACCTTGATTTGAAGTATCGATCAAATTGACAAAGTATAATACATATGCAAATAGACGATCACTTGCTCGACTTAATGGAAATGGATATGCCTAATTACTAAATCAAAACATTAATTCTGAAGGGATATTAATTACACTGATAAATCATGCATTGAAAGATTTACACTGATAAATCATGCATTGAAATGTTAAGTAAAATCACTTTGACTTTTCAAATATTTGGTTAGTCTTGACATATTGCTAGACAATGTACTTGACCTTCAAATATTAATTAATTAATTTAGTTTATATTTGTTATCAACATATTTTAAACCTAAAAGGTCACACACATAAAAACAGATATACGGATATGAGAAAGTGAAAACGAGAAATCGAATCAAGTATGACTTAATTACAAATAAGTTTTGGGATATTAAAGGCAAAATTATAATTTATATTTAATTTTAACAAATAAGTTTGGGATATTAAAGGCAAAAATTATTAATTTATATTTAATTATAATTTTACTAAATTATTAAGTATTACAGATTTACTGATATTAAAACCACAAATATATAATATATATATATATATATATATATATATATATATTATATATTTGCTTTTGTATTGATCCAAATAAAAATTCTTCAGTGATTCATCTCTCGTTTGAAATGAAGTCAATCTTTAGTTATAGGATCCAACTGTCAATCCAAGGAAGAAATGGACAAAGTTACATTATTTAGGGAAATACATTCCCTTGGATTTTAATGTTTCTTTGCATCATTTGTGTGGCAGTTTTGGGTATTGAAATACGTGATGAATCTATTTATGCTATATGTAAATGTGTGAATAGAGGAATAATAAAAAATTTTAGAAATTCTAAAATATTTTTAATCAATTTGAGTTTTTAATAAAAGATAAATTTTAATACTTTTTATCCATTGATTAAAAAAGTATATAATATTATTTTAATTGAATTTTCAATCGTAGATTATTTATGATATTAACTATGTTAAAAAATGGATTATTATTTTAATTTTAAAATAAACTTCAAAATGCCAAAAAATATAAAAATATTATTTCACAATTAATTCATAACATAATTAATTTATTATTTCATCTAATAAATTTTAATAAATATTTATTAGTTCATCTAATCAATTTTTAATAAATATTTATTAGTTCATCTAATCAATTCTATTTAAATTATTTATAACTTATCCAAAAAATATGTATTTAATTTATATATTTTAAAATTTTAAATGAATAATAATATATTAAAATTACTTAATATAAGTGTTGTGTGATTATTATTATATTCCTCTTTTAATTGTGTAAAAATGAATAAAACGCTAAATTCCAATTCATCAATAGTCAATTGTGTATAATTAAATGCTTTTATGATTTTTTTTAAAAGAAATCGATGCTAATTAAGTTTAACCTTATCATTTTCAAAAAAAAAAAAAAAAAAAAAAAAAAAAAAAAAAAATTGAAGTCTAATCTTATAATTAATAATAATTTTTTCAGTTTATTATCTATAATTGTTTTATTAAGTATACTTGAGTTTTAATGTTGTCCTATCATATTAAAATTAGTTTAAGGAAAATACTATTTGCTTATAATATTAATATTACTTAATTAGAGATAAATTTTAATTTAAAGTTGTTATTCATAAAATCATGTTTTAACATTATATAAATATCTAGAGAATATAAGAGAAAAAAAAAAAATTATACTTCATACTATATAAGAATAAATTAATGAATATAAACAACAAGTTATACTGAATAATAACAACGTGCAATGTCACAAAAAACCACTAGTCTATATTATATATAAATGTGGGAATAGGCGAGGGAATAATAAAATTTTGACAGCCCCCTTGGTGAAATTTAGGATATCTTAAAATAACCTTAGTTATAGCTAATTTATTAGTTGATTAGATATATCTATAAAATTATTTTTTAAGTCAATCATGTGTGGTCTGATTGTCTTCTCACTTACATGAGGAGTGAGATGTCTCGAGTTCAAGTTATCTCGATACAAGTGTTTTTATCAATTTGATGAGTCTAGGAGATGGTTATTTCTTGTTGTATAATTTGAGTATTATTTCGGCCTATTAGATCTCCTAACGAATCAAAATTTTATTTTTTAAATAAATAAATATAGATAATTAAGCATTTCAAAATTTTAAGTTTTATTTTTAGTAAATTTATTTTTTAATAAATATATATGATAATGAGACATTTGAAAAATTTTTTATATTTTATTTATTAAATATTTTATTATATTTT